AAGCGAGGAGGTATTTATGCTAAATAGCATTTCAGGTTGGCCCGTGTGATTCAGTGGTTAGAGCTTTGGTTTGCACACCCAAGGGTCGTGGGTTTGATTCCTGGTCAAGGGCATGTACCTGGGTGCGGGTTCAATCCTCAGCCCTAGTCTGGGTGGATGTCGGAGGCAACCAATCAATTTGCCTCTCACATCGATGTTTCTCTCTCCCTTCTTCCCTTCCACTGCCTCTAAAAATCAATGGGGAAAATCTCCAGTGAGGATTAACAAAAAAACAACAATACCTTAGCATTTCAGAGAAATTGGGATTCTCACATCCCAAACCAGTTGCCAATGGGAGGTTCCTTTTAAATTGAAGCTAAGTAATTTACTTTTCACGTATTTTCCCTTTAGTGGTTGTGCAAATGTTCACTCCACTTTATTTGACGCAGTGAGAATTCAGAGCAGGCTCCCCCCCAGTCTGACTTCTGTTGCCCATGTCCTGGTGACCAGACGTGAGGGCAGGCACAGTTGTGTGGGGACCTGTGTCGGCAGGTGTGCGGGTCAGCCCTGCACTCCACCCCACACAGGGCTCTCCTGTGGCTGCCATGAGACCAGAGTCTGCAGAGGGCTCTGTAAATTCAAACCCACCAGCACATCTCTCCAAGAGCGACTTAGCCCGTTTCTGCCTTTCACACTGTGGTGACAACATTCTACCGGAAGCATTCAGTCTGGGGGCCGGTCCTGGGCAGGACTGTGCTTTGGTGTGTTTGCCCTCAAGATCTGCTCATTTCTGGGGGAAATCACACGCAGCACAGGGAACTCCAGGGCAGAAAGGAGCATTGGGTGAATTCTGGTTTGTTTCCATCAATTACAGAAAACAGATCTCTATTTCTTAACTGATCTGGCCTGGAGTGGACTCTGAGGAACATCAGAGTTATGGACTTCCAGGCTTAGGTTTGGTTGTGTGAGACTCAGGGTTCCCCTCACTGAGTAACTTAAGATTAAAGATGAAATTTGGACGGAGATTCTTCTGGTCTTGTTTTTACCTGCACCTCAACATGAAGCTCCATGACACTGTTAACGGAGAGCTGGTCTGAGCAGTCAGTCACGTGCCCGCAGCAGTGAGGGGCAGGGAGGTGGAGGTGTGAAGCGCCCAGCAGCAGAGCGGGTGTGCGGCATTGCTGCTCACACTGCTCACACTGACAGCCCTCCGGTGTTCTCCAAAGGCTGCGTGTTGCCATGTGAGTTAGAGGGCAGCTCACAGGTTCCACTCACAGTCGCGAGAAGGCCATCTTCAGAGGCCACACACTTCCAGGTGGAGATGACCTGGAACCCAGGTCCGACCCGAGGTGGTGGACACAGAACCTGTGGGGATCACTAATGTCCAAAACTGTGCGTGGCCCCCACCTCATGCCTCCAGCTTGAATCTTTTTATCATTTTGATTTTCCTGGTCATGAAGTCAGTGGGCCACCAGTGGAGGTTGAACTTGGCCACAGCTCGGAGGCTACAAAGAAGGAAATGGCGGGCCCTGGCCGGCGTAGCTCAGTTGGTTGAGCATCACCCTGCGCACAGAAGGCCGCTGCACACTCCCCACCTAGGCACGTGCCTGGGTTGCAGGCTCGATCCCCAGCGGGTGGCATGTAGGAAGCAGCCAATAGATGTATCGCTCACATCGATGTTTCTCCCTCTCCCTTCTTCTCTTACTAAAAATTAATTTAAAAAAACGTAAAAAAAAGAAAAAGGGTGGGGTGAGATGGAGGGGGCCAGTGGGATAAAGGGGACATCTGTAATACCTTTCAACAATAAAGATTAAAAAAATAAAGAAAAGAAATGGCTTTCCAAAAAAAAAAAAAAAAAAAAAAAAAAAAAAAAAAAAAAAAAAACCTCTTTTTAAAAAATATATTTTATTGATTTTTTACAGAGAGAAAGGGAGAGGGATAGAGAATTAGAAACATCGATGAGAGAGAAACATCGATCAGCTGCCTCCTGCACACCCCCCACTGGGGATTGCCCACAACCAAGGTACATGCCCTTGACCGGAATCGAACCCGGGACCCCTCAGTCCGCAGGCTGACACTCTATCCACTGAGCCAAACCAGTTAGGGCAAAAAAAACCCCACCTCTTTTTTAATCAATATTTTTTAGAGAGAGAGGGAGAGACACATTGATGTGAGAGTGAAACATTCATCAGCTGCCTCCTGCATGTCCTCCACTGGGGCTTGAGCTCACAACTCGGGCATGTGCCCTGACCAGGAATTGAACTGGCAACCATTCAGTGCAGGAGATGACGTCCAAGCCAACGGAGCCACACCAGCCAGGGCATCTTTTGTTCTTTTTTTGTATCTATCTTAGACCAGCAATTTTTTTTTTTAATTTATTGTTTTTAGAGAGCGAGAGGAACATCAGTTTGTTGTTCCATTTATGATGCATTCTTTGGTTATTTTTTGGATGTGCCCTAACTGGAATGCAAATCCACAACCTTGCCATTTCAGGATGACACTCTAACAAGCCAGGGCCAGACCAGCAATTTTTAAAAATACGTTTTTATTGATTTTAGAGAGAAGAAGGGAGAGGGGTAGATAGAAACATCAATGATAGAGAAACATCTATCAGCTGCCTCCTGCACACTCCCTACTGGGGATTAAGCCCGAAACCCAGGCGTGTGCCCTGACTGGGAATTGAACCAGGGACCTCTTGTTTTATGGGTCGACACTCAACCACTGAGCCACACTGGCTGGGCCAGACCAGTGATTTTCAACCAGTATGCTGTGGCACACTAGTGTGCTGCAATAATTTTTAAAACATGCTATACCTGGCTATTTAGTCAGGGGCACTGACCTCTTTTCCCTTAGACTGTCAAATTTTTAAAAATGACAACACCCCTACCTGGTTTGGCTCAGTAGATAGAGCGTCAGCCCACGGATTGAAGGATCTCATGTTCAATTCCAGTGAAGCATGTACCTCGGTTGCAGGCTCGATCCCCAGCCCCGTTGGGGCACATGCAGGAGGCAACCAATAGATGTGAAAGAGACACATTGATGTTTCTCTCTCTCTGTCCCTTACCCTCCCTAACACTCTCTCTAAAATCAATGGAAAAATATCCTTGGGTGAGGATTAACAAAAAAACAAACAAAACAGAAAAATGACAACAGCCTGGCAGATGTGGCTCAGTAGTTGAGTGTCAACCCATGTTTCTCTGTCATTGATGTTTCTATCTCCAATTCCCTTCCTATCTCTAAAATCAATGAAAATATATTAAAAATAAATAAAGCCCTAACTGGTTTGGCTCAGTGGCTAGAGCGTCGGCCTTTGGACTGAAGGGTCCCAGGTCCGATTCCGGTCAAGGGCATGTACCTTGGTTGCTGGCACATCCCCAGTGGGGGGTGTGCAGGAGGCAGCTGATTGATGTTTCTCTCTCATCAATGTTTCTAACTCTCTATCCCTCTCCCTTCCTCTCTGTAAAGAATCAATAAAATATATTTTTTAAAAAATAAATAAATAAAAATGATGTTACTTTGAAAAATAAATAAATAAATATCAGTAGCCAACACAATAGCAGTCCAGTGTGAATGCCATCTTGAACCATACATATATGTCATATAATAAAGTTGCATCTTGTTGATCATGTTGCATAATAAGGTTGCAACTATTGGTTAAGTTTTGGTACCAGAAATCCTTATATACAAATACAGGCATCTGGCTTTTTTTGTTTTAATGGCACCTGACTTTTTAAAAAGTCACTTTGGAGCAAAAAGTGTAGGTAATTATTATTATTATTATTTTGTAAATCAATCAAAGTTATACCTATTTTTTTGTCAGATTGGCAAAAATGTATTTTTTGATGTGCTGCAGAATTTTAGTAATTAGTTTCTGTGTGCCATGAAATGAAAACGGTTGAAAATCGCTAGTAGAGAAAATAAATGCATAATGGTACCATTCACCGGGCTGGACAACACGGGCAGATAAGCTGCTTGGAGAGAGATGAGCTCTGTTTTGAACGTATTGTTCTAGTGCAGCCGTGGGCAAACTACGGCCCGCGGCCGGATCCCGCCCGTTTGAAATGAATAAAACTAAAAAAAAAAAAGACCGTACCCTTTTATGTAATGATGTTTACTTTGAATTTATATTAGTTCACACAAACACTCCATCCATGCTTTTGTTCCGGCCCTTCGGTCCAGTTTAAGAACCCATTGTGGCCCTCGAGTCAAAAAGTTTGCCCACCCCTGTTCTAGTGTCTTTGGGATACTCAAGAAATCCAAAAGGCAGTGGGATATATGTGTTTGGGTCTCAAGAGAGAGGTCTGGCCCTAACCGGTTTGGCTCAGTGGATAGAGCGTAGGCCTGCGGACTGAAGGGTCCCAGGTTCGATTCCGGTCAAGGGCATGTACCTTGGTTTTGGGCACATCCCCAGTGGGGGGTGTGCAGGAGGCAGCTGATCGATGTTTCTCTCTCTTCGATGTTTCTAACTCTCTATCCCTCTCCGTTCCTCTCTGTGAAAAATCAATAAGATATATTTTTTTTAAAAAAGAAAGAGGTCTGGGCTAGAGATAAAAATTTAAAAGTCACTGGAGTACAAGTGGTAGTTGAATGCAAGGGAATGGACAAGGATAATCTCAGAGGTTTGTGTAGCATAAAAAAAAGAAGGGGCCCAAAGAACCAAAGTCTGGGGGTTGGTTAATTTTCATGAAGGGCAGAGGAAGAAGAATCCACAAAGGATATGGGGAAGGGCTAGCCGGAAAGGTAAGAGGAAAACCGGGAAGATTCGTGTTATGAGTCCCAAGGTGGGTGTGACCGTGAGTATGCAGGCTGCGGAAAATAATGGAGAAGTGTCCAGTGGCTGTAGAGGGGTTGGGGCACTGGCAATTTGGAAAAGAATGCTAAACAATGGAGGGGTGAAACCAGCCTAGAGTCAGTGAGAAGGCAGAGGGAGGTGAGGGTTAAAATTAGGCGACTCTAACCATGTAGCTGTGGAGGGGAAGTGAGAGTGGCAGCTGGAGAGGTTTCTAAAAGCTGGATGAGGGTGGTGGTTAAAGAAGTCCACTCCCAGTCACCCTGCTGGAGAAGGAAAGTGGGAGAAATTAGAGCCAAAAGGAGGGCTTGGGGGAAGGCTGCGGAAGGGGGTGATAAGGGCCTGTGTCCGGGAGGGAGACTGTTCACTGGGTCTCAGGAGTCCCTATCAGGTTGGCACTTCCTCCTATCCCCATTCCCTTCCTGCCCCTGACCAGGCCCTCCCTAGAGCTGGAAGAAAGAAGGACCGAGTCACACCCTGGAAGCTCTGTGCCTTTGGAGGTTTTTCTGCCTGCCCGTAAGCTGGGGTTAGGGCTGGGAGGGGAGGGGAGCGGGTCTGAGGGAGGGATGAGAGCCAAGGACCTGCAGCTAGCAGTTAAGGCTTTGGGGGACAAGGGCAGGAGAGGGGAGTGGAGGTTGGGAGGTGTGGGAGCCAAGTTTCTGGAAAGGATCCTGGAGGCTTCAGCGAGGGCTAGGGCCTGGGGGAATGATGTTGGGGCCAGTGAGGTACCCGCTCAAACTTCCCTTGCCCACAGGTCCTCATGCCTCTCCTCCTCTTGCTGCTCCTGCTACCGAGCCTTTCACATCCCTTTCCCACCTGTGAGGTCGCCAGAGTGGCCACCCAGGTGGAAGTGAACTGTGACAATCAGGGTCTGAAGGCGATGCCTTCAGATTTGCCGGCAGAGACCACCATCCTCCGCCTGGGCGAGAACCCCCTGCGCACCTTCTCCATGGTGTCCCTGGTGCCTCTGACTAGGCTCACTCAGCTGCATCTGGGTGACAGCCAACTGACCGAATTGCAGGCCGATGTGGAACTACCGCTGCTGGAGACCCTGGAAATACCCAATAACCAGCTGAAAAGCCTGCCCTCGCTGGGACAGACACTGCCAGCACTCACCACCCTGGATGTCTCCTTCAACCAGCTGACCTCATTGTCTCCTGGGGCCCTGGATGGCCTCAGCCACCTCCATGAGCTCTCCCTGCGGGGCAACAGGCTGAAGAGTCTGCCACCCCGGCTCCTGGCGTCCACGCCCCAGCTGAAGAAGCTCAATCTGGCTGAAAACCGGTTGACGGAGCTGCCCCTTGAGCTCCTGGATGGGTTGGAGGAGCTTGACACCCTCTACCTCCAAGGAAACTGGCTGCGTACAATACCAGAGGGCTTCTTTGGAGAGCGCCTTCTGCCTTTCGCTTTTCTCCACAATAACCCCTGGTTCTGTGACTGCAGCATCCGTTATTTCAGTCGCTGGCTGCGAGACAATGCTGACAGTGTCTACTTATGGAAGGAGGGTGAGGAAAACAAGGCCATGACCCCCAATGTGGAGAGCGTGCGATGTGTCAATATGGCAACACCCGTCTCTGACTACATAGGGAAGGACTGTGGCCCTCTCAAAAGTGTGGATGGCCTAGACTATGATGTATATGACGAGGGCGCTACAAGTGAGAAGGTGCCTACCACGAGGACTGTGATCGCCAGCACCAAAGCCCATACAACTCACTGGGGCCTACGCTACTCAGAATCTACTGCTTCTCCAGACAGCCAAATGCCCTACTTGCCTCCAACTCGTGAGTCCACTAAGAAACAGACCACATTTCCAACCACGTTAGAATCCATTACATTCTCCCGCACTCCAAAACCCACGACTGAAACCACCAAAACCTCGACCACCCCAGAGCCCACCACAGCCCCGACCACCCCAGAACCCACCACAGCCCCGACCACCCCAGAGCCCACCACAGCCCCGACCACCCCAGAGCCCACCACAGTCCCGACCACCCCAGAGCCCAGCACAGCCCCGACCACCCCAGAGCCCACCACAGCCCCGACCACCCCAGAGCCCACCACAGCCCCGACTACCCCAGAGCCCACCACAGCCCCGACCACCCCAGAGCCCACCACAGCCCCGACTTCCCCAGAGCCCACCACAGTCCCGACTACCCCAGAGCCCACCACAGTCCCGACCACCCCAGAGCCCACCACAGTCCCGACTACCCCAGAGCCCACCACAGCCCCGACTACCCCAGAGCCCACCACAGCCCCGACCACCCCAGAGGCTACAACCCTGACCACCCCAAAACCCATCACAACCCCGAGCACCCCAGAAACCACAACTCCAACCACCTCAGAACCCATAACCTCAGAACCCAGCACACTCCAGACCACTTCAGAACTGACCACAGAACCCACCTCCCTCTCTCCCTTAAAATCCACAACAATCATCTCTGACTTTTTCGACCCCGAAAAGGTCCGAGGACTGGCTCAAGGGAATGTGGATAGCTCCAGAAACGACCCTTTTCTCAACCCCGACTTTTGCTGTCTCCTCCCCCTGGGCTTCTACATCTTGGGTCTCCTCTGGCTCCTGTTTGCTTCTGTGGTCCTCATCCTGCTGCTGATCTGGGTCTGGCACATGAAAGCGCAGGCCCTGGACTTTGGCCAGCCTGTTGCCCTGACCACAGCCAAGCACACCACACATCTGGAGCTGCAGAGGGGAAGGCAAGTGGCTGTGCCCCGGGCCTGGCTGCTTTTCCTCCAAGGATCACTCCCAACTTTCCGCTCCAGGCTCTTCCTGTGGATCCGGCCTAATGGCCGTGTGGGGCCTCTGGTGGCAGGACGGCGGCCCTCAGCCCTGAGTCTGGGTCGTGGTGAGGACCTGCTGGGTACAGTGGGCATTAGGTACTCTGGCCACAGCCTCTGAGATTGGGTGATTTGGGGACTTTGAGAGGCTCTGATGGGCTTTCTTATTGGGATCTAGTGGGGGGTGGGGGCTAGTGAAAATCACAGGGTCAGGGGGAGGTCTTAATTACTTTCTTATCAGAAGCCTTCCCTTCATACCACAAGAACATAACCTCAAAACCAGTAAGCCAGGAGAGGAAGTGAGATGGAGTTGGATGGTTCATAGAAAAAAACACTGGATGCAGTTGGGGGGGTCTCAGACCACTAGGTTATTACTACTTTGGGGAAGTTTTAGATAAAAGCAAATAAAAAACAGAATAGAACCTGGCTGGTGTGGCTCAGCGATTCAGCATCGTCCTATAAACCAAGAGGTCATGGTTCAATTCCTGGTCAGGGCACATGCCTGGGTTGTGGGCTCAATTCCCAGTGTGGGGCATGGAGGAGGCAGCCAATCAGTGATTGATGTTTCTACCTCTCTATTCCTCTCTAAAAAAAAAAAAAAAAAAAAAAATCAATAAAATATTTTAAAAAAATAGAATAGTGGTCCTCACATTTATCTGTATTGAAAATTTAGAGCCCTAACCGGTTTGGATCAGTGGATAGAGCGTCGGCCTGCGGACTGAAGGGTCCCAGGTTTGATTCCGGTCAAGGGCATGTGCCTTGGTTGCGGGCACATCCCCAGTGGGGAGTGTGCAGGAGGCAGCTGGTCAATGTTTCTCTCTCGTTGATGTTTCTAACTCTCTATTCCTCTCCCTTCCTCTCTGTGAAAAATCAATAAAATATGTTTAAAAAAAAAAAAGAAAATTTAGAGATTTATCAAGATGTGAGCCCTGATTGTCTTGGGGTGGTATAAATATGGTTTTCCTTTCCTCTGCTTGGCATTTTCTAGTTTTCTATCACCACATTATTTATATAATAAAAAATAATTTCAAAAAGAAAAATTAAGTTCTTTTGGAGAGGAAGAGTGGCTGGGACACCTGTCCTTGGCATTCCCAAGGCTCCAGCTACCCCCAGTCTAGTTGCACTACTCACCCAAAAAGATCTAGCCGTAGATTGCACTTCTCCTGCTTGGGGTGCCTACTTGTCTCCTCCAGGGGTGACCACCCTCCAGGCCACCCCAAGCACCGGTTCCAGATCAAGAACCATACGTTTCCCTGGAGGTTAGTAACACCACTGAGGCCTGTCTGTGGCCGCAGCACTAGGAGTGAAGGTGGGTGCTTGCTCTCACCTGCAGCCTCGGGAATGCAGCTTTCCTGCGCTGTTCAGGTGAGTGCGACAGAGGAAAGGTGTGGGTTTTACCGAGTAGTCCGTTTCCTACTCTCAAGCTAGGATGCATGCTAATGGAACCCACTTCGCTCACCTTGTGCCACATTCTCCCATTCTCCTTACCACATCTGATGGGGCTCTGTCCTACCTTGCCTCCAGCACAAACCTAGGCTTGGGGCCCAGAGAATGAGGAGACCCCCTCTCCTAGGTGGTGCTGGAAGAATCTTCCTAACTCGAAAACCCAACTGAATTTCTCCTGCTCTGAACTCTTCCCTGGGTAGAGGACAAACTCCTGAGCATGACAATCAAGGACTTCTGTGCACTGATCCATTGAACACTTCAGCTCCATCTCACAAACACTTCACCACCTGTGTCCCGGCTACTGCACCTGCTCCCCGGCCCTTCCCCTCTAAGCCTTTGCGCTCCTATCAGCCACAACTGCCCCGCCCCCCTTCCCCAGCTAGGCTGCTGCTGTGCACAGGTCTCTCCTCCCCCAAGCAAAGCCGGTGCTCCAAGTTACCCAGCACCTGCCTATTGCTACACTCCCAGCAACCCGAACTGCTCCTGTGCCATCTTCCCCTCTGGACTTGGAATTCCTTAAGTATAAGACTCAGACCCCAAGTGTCTCAAAGTGGCCACAAGGCGCAGGCCAGCATGTACATGGAGCAGGTAGAGACAGGCAGAGGTGGGAGGGCCCAGCACGATGCCAGGCTGCTGAGCTCCACTTCTATCCAGAGGCTCTGCCAAGAGGACAGCTCCCACCTGCTGCCTGCCTGTCCCCTGGCCTGGCTCACAAGCCTTCAGACCTCATACTGCCCAACCCTCCTTCCAGCTGACCTTCTCATACCCTTTTATGCCCCAAGAGGTTTGGGGGCTCCTAGAGGCCAGGGTCTGGGAGTCACGCAGACAAGGCAGTCACTCTCCCCAACCTAGTGCCCAGATCAAGTCTCGGGTTCCTCAAACTCCAGGCTTTGGGAGTCTGGCTCCTGTGCTCACTCCCCCCGCCCTCCCCGCAACACACAAGTCAGCCTTCTCTTCCCATACTCTTTATTCCCTCCCTCTTTAGGCCACAGAAGCAGTCATCAGACCCGAGGCTTTCCCGGGGATTACATGAGCTGACTTGTGCTGACTTGTGCATCTGTTGCATTCTTGGCCAAGTGGCTGGGAAGCAAGACACAGTGCTTGGGTCTTGGTTTTCCTCACCCAGCCAGCTGCCACAGTGAGGCTGATTTACGTCGCACTTTCATAAAACCAGCAGGTGCTTTTTCTGTAATCGTTTTTCTTAAAAATTCCAGTTGATGTTCTCCAGGGGCATCACTTCTTTGTCCAGTCTCCCCCCTCCTCCAGCCCTCACAACTCTTCAAAATTTGGGGGTAGTGTTATCAATCCAATTACAATGTCCTCAGGGAAGTGGAGGAAATCCAATTTATTGATTATGTCCTCTCACTGCAGACCCTCTGACCATCCTGACAGCTCCCGCGCTCTCTAGTCCCTCAGCTCTGCCTTGGTTTCCCCACTGAGAAGGGGGAATCTTCTGCTGTCCTATGTGACGTGAAACTAACGCCCAAGAGGAGGCTGGAAATTCTCAGGGAGTTTCTCAGCTTCCCCCAAGGCACAGCCAGGGACAGAGAGGTCATGAAGATCAGGACAAGCAGGGTGAGCTGGAGCAGGGGGAGGGCAGACCAAACTCCTTTACCGCAGAGGAAGGAACCACACTGTGGAGGGAAAATAAATAGAGGGGCCCAGGGCAGCAGTCCAGGCCCCCCAGGGGCACACTGACTGTAGGAGCAGCAGGCGAGTGGGAGCCCAGCACACTGGCTCCAGGCCCCTCGCCTGCCTCAGCCACTGAGGAAAAGACGCTTGTAGGCCTTGTTCATCTGCTCCAAGAAGATGAAGGTGAGGACGGTGTGGGGGCCCAAGCGGGCATAGTACGGTGTAAATCCCTTCCACAGGCTGAAGAAGCCCTCGTAGCGAACGACCTTCGCCAACACATCCTAGACAGGCAGGTGGGCAGGACACTGGGGCTAGGACCTGGCCTCTGGGGCCCTGGCCCTCATACCCAGCTACCCTCGCTGTTTTCCCAGGACATCCAATCCTCCAGCCCAAGCCCCCAGCCCTGTTTCCTCACCAGGCCGTTTTTGTATTCCGGCTTCCCGTCAATCATTCGCATGTTCTGGATCCTGAAGGAGAGGAGGCAGGGGCATGAGAGACCTAACGGGGGCCCTCCCTTCCTTCTCCAGGCCCAGGTCTGCAGACTCACCGGGTCTTGACAATGTCCACGGGCATGGAGGCAGCAGTAGTGACCAGGCCACTGATCATGCTGGCACAGAAGTGGCACAAGATGTTGTCAGAGAAGTAACCTGGGGGAGGTGGAGCAGGGAGTGGCAGTCAGCTAGAGCCCGGCTCAGGCCAGGCTGGGAGCTAAGGGCCCAGCTCTAGGTCTCACCTGAGTCCAGTAAGAACTGCTTGGATTGGGAGTAAGAGGCGAGCTGGGCAGCATTGACGACGACCGCCCGAGCCATGGTAGGGATGCAGCCCTGGGTGGGGAGTGGAAGAGGATTCAGAAATGCCTGGGACCTGACCCCACCCCTCGGGTCTCCAGCCCCTTCACTCACCCTCCACAGTGTGGGGACCCCCTCTTCCCGAGCGATTCGAACCAGGGCATTAAACACATTTTTGTAGCCACGGCGTTGGTCAGCTGGAAGCCTGGTGGGAAGGCAGGGAGAGGCCAAGCTCAGGACAGACCATCCTGTCCCACAGGAACAAAAAAAGGGTGTCCAGAACAGGTGAATGCTCTGCTTTAGATTGAAGGTAAGAAGTTAGTCCTTAATTCTAGATTCCAAAGAATGGAGCTGGAGGCGGGCTCAGACCTGGAACTCACCGGCCATCGGCGGTCATGCGAATAAGAGCCACCTCTGCTGGTGTTCCCACAAAGGCACCAGTTGCACCTGCAGTCATGCCAATCAGGGCCTTCAGCAGAAAGCCGGGAGGTGTACCATCAGCCCCAGTCAGGCGTTCAAACAGCACAGTATAGATGCCAAGGCGAGTGGTGGTGTAAGTGGCCTGGCGCAGTAGGCCAGCTGACAGCCTGGGGAGTGAAGGGGTCAGTCTATTAGGCCAAGGTCTGGAGCTGCCAACCCGCACCCTAACCCCCATCCTGTGGCCTCAATACCCGGTGTAAATGCCCCGCAGCCCTTCTGCCTTAAGGATACTGGTAAGGGCATGGAAGCTGGTTTTGTACTCTCGCGTTTTGGCTCCTTCCCCGCTCAGCTGCATCCGGTTCTTCACCAGGTCCAGGGGTTGTACAAAAACGGTAGCTCCCATCCTGGGGGAAGACAGGGGTAGAGTCCAAGTGTCCCAGATCTACCAGTGCCTACTTGGTAACTGGCAACAAGTCACAAGGGGCAGGGCCTGCCATACCATTGACTAAATGTTCAGGAGGTCGTTGGACATGAGTATAAGTCTATGCGTGTATCAGGAGCAATGGGTCTAAACAGTCCAATGATCCAGCATGCAATGAAAAGTGCTCCATGCAACTCCAAGGGGGTCAAGCAGTGACTTGGGACTGCATGCAGTCCGACCCATTCAGGACCGGCAGGAGCCATGCAATGACCTGGAACTCCATAAACCCGGCAGAGCCAAGCAATGGGTTGAGAAATTCAGGTGGCCGCCCAGCGGGAGCCGTGCAATGACCCCGCATGCAGCCTAGTAAGGGCCCTGCAATGGGTAAAAATATCCTGGTATCCCATCAAGGACCTCGAAGAACACTGAGGACGGCGCTGACCCCGTGCCGGCTCAGTACACTGC